AGCTTTGCGTGAAATTCAAAAACAAACAAACAAACTGTTTAGAAGTTACTATTACTAATTCATCAATAGAAATATAATACAAAATTTGCCTCAAGCTATAATGACCCATTTTAAGACACAAGCTGAGATACACTATAAACATTTATGAATGAAAAGTGTTGCTGCTTTAAGTTCACATCTCGTTTTTTTTGTAAGTTATTGTCTTACAGAATAAATTTGAAGAGAGGTTAATAATCTGTTTCCTTACTCTACTTAAAAGCGAGGCACTGAATTTATTATAGTATAAAAAATATGTGTGGTTTTTAGCGTAATATGCTTTTAACTAGTTTTGAAACTAAAGAGAAATTTGTTTTTACCAATAGATTTGACTATGATGTTCAGTAAAATGACGAGTTAAAGTTTTCAATAACGAAGGAACTAAGAAAACACGTGTTCTTTATACAGAATTCTCTTGTCTAGGTGAATTTAAGAGTTTGTTAATATGCAGGTCAAACCATAGTCGAGTGGTTAGTGTGTAAATCTAAAGGTCCGAGCCCGTGACATGTGGCTGAACACAGGGCGAGATTTAATCTAGTTATTGGATTAGGAGTCGTCACGTAGACGGCGGTGCTGCTGATTGGGTATTTTTTGCTGGTCAGTAGTTCTAAATTAAGGACGCCTGTGCTTTTGAACCTTAGGATTTCTTGAGCTGACTGTTTAGTCCATGTGTCACTTAAGGAACTATTCAGATCGTGGTGCGAAATAAATAAAATAATGATGTACATACCAATGATACACGCCTATTTTCTTACTCACAGGTCAGTGTTTTTTGTCCTGTGATATAAGGTGTTGCCCCAAATATAAAAGTTAAGAAGAGTAGTGATATTGGTAGTACAGCAAAAGTTAGTGAGATATATCAATAGTTTATTCGTGACAATGAGATGTAAGTAATTTTAATGATGACCTAGTTAATAAGACACATTTGTTTTCTTAGATACAGATCAATGTTTGGTCGTCAAGATGAAAGTTTTTTAATGGTTCACAAATTACGAAATTATCTGTTTTCTTAGATAAAGGCCAATCTTGGTTATCAGGAGATATATTGTTGCCTTGATGTGGAACTTAAAACACATTGTATTTTTTTTCTTTGAGCCTAACTAAATTCATAAACTTTGTTTAGATGTTGGTCCATGGTTGGTCGTCAGGGTGGAAAGCAAGAACTGTCTCTTGGAAGTGGTTGTCATTGGAGGGGTTTGGTTGTCCACGAGCTGGGGCATGCTATAGGATTCTGGCATGAACAAAACAGAGCTGATAGAGACGATTACATCGAGATATTTTGGGATAATATTATAGAAGGTAATATTTTGTTTTATACTTGTTGGAATTTATATTATAACCAGCACAGGTACTAATAAAACGTGTAACTATAACCAACTTTTTAAAGGATTTTTGTATCATTTATGCCTATTTGTTTTATGACTCAATCATTAAAGAGCTCTTTGTCTTCTACAGGCATATATTTAGAGTTGATAATACTTTACAAGAAGAACGCTTTGAACATGCTAATAGAGTGAGGTGTAGCCCCAGATGCAAACCATTGCACCACGAGTGATATATTTAATTTAAGGCAGATATTCGATCATTCGCTCGTGCAGTACCACCTAGGCATAGCTTTTCATCGCTCTTTACGAGGACGGATACTTGTAGATCGAGCTTATTAAAGATCTTGAACTAAGGAACACAGCATTTCAAAAGGAGTCTTCAGTGCTCTCCGTGCAAGAGGAAAAGCCATATAGCAAAGTATTTAGGATAGCATGGATCTAAAAACCATATCATAAGCTGATTTAAAGCAATTCCATCACCCATACGGAAGACTATGTCTATGAAAGAAGACCCTCCTTCACCAAACACTTTATGATAAAGGTGGTCATGTTTCCTGGTACCGTTAGCAGGATTATCAATAATTAAGGATCTGAAGTTGAATAATGTTCATCAGACTAAACGTTCACAAGCTTACAGACAAAAATCAGCAACTTTTTCTTGAGAAAGATGACCGAATAAACTTGAATCACAGAAATCCATTGGATGAAGCTATATCAAATAAGTTCGTCAAACAGGAAATTTAAACAAGATACGAGTTGAAGCTAAGGAATAACAAACAGACTGAATAATATATGTAATACACAATGAAAAATGTCTTAATTAGAATTTAACACAAAAACACAGTGTGTATTGTGTTCTTGCTTTGCTTAGGACTATCCGTTCCCCACTGGATTAATTCAGTTGTATACTTTATGAAGACCAGTTAAAGACTAACTAAATGAAAAGCATTCTTAAAACAAAATCTGTGAAACCATGTGATTGGTCATTCTTATTGTATAAAGGTAGGACAGAAATATCTAAGTACTACCTGTACAACCAAGAAAAGACAATGCCCTAACCACATACAAGGTTTCATACTAGCGAAATCAACTTAACGATTTTTTTATCACAGGTATGTGGAAATTTGCACATATTCAGAACAAGGAATGAATTTAAAACCAATACTATAACACTACAGGCAGAAGAAACGTATTTTATATTACATAACATAGAAATGATCATGTCCGACAATAATGCATAATCGTGACTATCAGATTGAGTACGATTGATGATGGAAGGACTAGTTACAAGGTATCACAGGACCTGCGCCATCATTCTTATAAAGTGCAATTAATCCACACTAATTCTAACTTAACTATTTTTACACTCACTATTTTACATACATTATTACTGCCATTTAATGAGAGAACCAAAATTGTTTTCAATTACTGGTTTGATAGGTGGCTGTTAGACACTATAAGGTCTAAACATAAAATAATGCTTGTAAATTATGTCCGGAATAAGCAAAAAATACTGTTTTATATTCCCCATAATAACACCTTATTTAATTATAGTATTTTGGCACTTGTGTATAAAGTTAAAATCATAAATAATATTCAACGTTAAACTGGTACACAATTAAAAAACGTTCGACGTTTCTGAGGATGGCGTTGTAACGTCGAAACATGTAGAGTCGTCAACTTTTTGAGGGCCATAGATAGGCCTAAATAAAATGTTTTTAATTGTGTACCAGTTTCACATTGAATATTATTTATGATTTTAATGCCTTATTTAGTAACAAACACATAATCTAATTGTATAAAATTCAAATCCTTTAAAAGGGAAAACTCTCATTTCATTAGTGAACTTGTTCTGCAAATTATGAATTGTAATTGGAAACTATATTTTACATTTAGGGTTGGAATATGCCTTTGACAAGCTTCAACCGTGGGAGAACAACTATCTGAACGAAGAGTTTGATTATGAGTCTGTAATGTTGTACGGAGAGACAGCCTTTTCAAAAGATGGTGTTTCACAAACCGTGAAACCCAAGAAACCGGGTGTAGTTATTGGACTAGTGTGGAAGAAGCCTGGGCTTAGTGCCAGTGATATAAGGAGAGTAAATAGACTTTACGAATGTTTCGGTAAGTATATCTTAGTTCTAACAGTTTTTAATTGAAATCACGAACATATGACGTACCTGAAAAGTAATTCTGAAACTTTATAGGCAGGGAAAGAATCCTTGTCAGTTTGTTTGTTTTTTGAATTTTGCGCAAAGCTACACGAGGGCTATCTGCGCTAGCCGTCCCTAATTTAGCAGTGTGAGACTA